CCAAGTAGCTGGAACTACAGGCGCGCACTACCACGCCCGGCTCATTTTTTGATTTATCGTAGAGATGAAGTCTTGCCAAGTTGCCCAGGCGGATCTCGAGCCCGCAGGCTCAGGCAATCCACTCACCTCAGCCTCCCGAAGGCGTGGGATTACAGGCTGAGCCACCAAGCCCAGCTTCACACTGAGCATTTCTAAAGGAAGTTAAGCCTTCGTGATTCCAAGGGCAGGTTGGTTGACAACTTTTAGTTTTGTCAGAAAGCCCAGTCCCTCTGGTGCCTTTTAAAAACACCTGTCTGTTACAGCTTCTCATTTGTTCCCAAGTCCTAATTATTTGTTTTTTTTTTTAAGTGTATGCCAAGTGGCATTTTGTTTTTAGAGGACATATAACATGAGTTTTGGGGAGTGGAGTAATAAATTTTTTCTTACAGTATTAAGTACTTAAAAAGATATTCGATGCCAGATATTTTATATCTTAAAGGGTAACTTCCAGGCAGTAAGATTCCACCGTCAAGGATCAAAAGTAGCCACCACTCTTCAAAGTTAACATGTTCTGGGGATCTGGTTTCATGGAGGTAGCACCTGATTTAGTTTCTATCTCTGTCACATTTAGTGTTCCATTTTAACGTTTTATTTTAGGTAGAAAGTTTAAAAAAAACACATTTTTTGTGGAAAATGCATAAGCTACTGTTCTAAATTTATGTAAAAATTCACTGCACTGTTTCTATAAACCTGCCATACATTCTTTATTTTAAATAGACAGCTTTTCTAAATCATTGTGCTCTGCTTAGACAAGTTCTGTCTCCATGGTTGAATTTATGAGTGGATTTGAATAATAAATTCACATTTCAATGAACATATTTTCATTAAAAGTGTAAGGTTTATTTTACTGTACTTTTAAATAATGGCTTATTATTAAAGCTATACTTTAAATTCATACAATTTTTGAAACTTAGTGTATGGTTACAAGAAGGAAGACAAAGGAATAGGAAACATTGTTACCAGATTAGGGTGATTAAAGATACATAAAAGTTTTCATGGAAGAAAGTAACAGGGCATCCTGCATAAGATTAATCTAGATACATATAAACATTGTCAAAAACTCTTATGTGCTAGAGCTGTTTTTGAGGAATAAGTCCAAATAAATACTTGTTTGCATTATTAGTATCTCTGTCAGTACCTTGTTGCAACTCGCTTTCTGAAATGGTACAGTTTTAGGAAAAACGCTTGTTCACATGTGCAGAAAATATGTAATTTCTTAATATGCCCTCTTAAGACAGATAAAACTGAATAGAACTAAGAGGAAGATGCTAATGGAGCTCTTTTTAGAATTCTTTATGCAACTGTCTGGTCAAGACATGTTGCTTATAATTGATGTGTCCATTACTTGAATTCTCTTGTAATTATAGTCAATAAGTCTTGTAAATGTGTTAAAGCTCACTAAAAGCATACAAATTCAAGAACAGAGTAAGGCTAATAATTTAAAATAATCAATGTAGGCATTTCAGCACTTAATTTCCCTTGTGTGTTGATAGCTGATCATTCTTAATCCATTAAGATTTATTTAGTCGTTTACAATGCAAAATAGGTTTGCACTGGTCACTTGTGCCATTTGAAAATGTCCACCAGGTTAAGTGCAGAATGTAGTCCATTAGTCTTCCTTGACTATATGTATTAATTGCATTTAAAATCAAGTTAATGTGGATGTGAAAGTGAGGTAACTATCAATATGTGACAAAGTAACCCTACTTATATAAGTTACATCATTGATTGTAACATTTAGTAAAAGTTAGCATACTTTTTTTTTAAAACATCTTGTGTTGGTCTTATCAGCAAGTACATTTTTATTGTGCTTTGAAACACCACTGAGCGCACTGTTCCTGAGGACATAACACCAGACTACCATTTCAATTTTACAAGTCATTTTTTTGGGGAAGTTAGTCTCCAGGTTTTAATTCAAGTTTTTTTTTTTTTTTCCTGGAGCATCTTGAAATGAATTGCTTTTCTGATACTTTGCTTATGTCCATGAAATAGTAATGCAGGGACTGTTATTAATAGTTAACTGGAAAAAGGGCTTACTCTTCCAATCCCTGTTTTCATATTTTTGAAGTGCTGTATGTTTTATATAACCTTTTCTTGCCGTCCTTAGCACTATAAGAAATAAATGAATTGCAGGAAGAAATCAACCCAGGGTTTCCTGGTGTGCTTGCTGGTATGAAGCAGTCAGCATGACCAGAAAGAGCAGTCTTCCCTCTCACAGTACCTTAGTAGGGCTAAAAACACTGCTCGTTTTCTCTTCAGCATTATTCTGTTAAAGCTTTGATTTCATATAATAGGGGCTACTGTTGAGCTCTCAGATTGCCCGAAGTCATTAATTTTGTGTTCAGAGTGCTATGGTCACTGGTGCCATTCAAAAATGTTCACATGCAGGGAGATAGGAATGTGTGACTTCACTGAAGAATTCTGGTTAGGGCTGGTAGTGTTTGTAACTCATGAAACAGTTTAGAGGATGAACAGATAGATTACTAGGATAGTTAATCTGTAGACTTTAAACACAGTGAGAACAGGGATCCTGCTTTGTTCACTGCTTCATCTGTGTCCCACACTCAGGTGGTGCTTAGTGCAGTTTGTTGAATGAATGAATATACAAATACACAGATGAATGAATAAGTGAATGAATGAAGTGTTCCAATGTTTAGGAAGGATTGTGGAATTAAGGCTAAAATTGAGAAGTATTAGATTTTGGGTAATATGCATCTTCTTTCATTCTTTTAAGACCTAAAGGTTTTTGATTGTATTTACTTTTAAATGGCACATCCATGTGTGTGGAACAATTGGGAATGACTGATAGTTGAGGAGAGCCCAGTAGGTCTGGGAGAAGCCTTGGTTTTTAAAGTCTGGAATTCTTTTGGTAACGTAATAAGGTACCAGGAAAATGGAGAGTCTCTTTAATTTTTTTCTTTCAAGAAACCTCACAGACCAAATTAGCCCCCTTACCCAAAAAAAACCTATCAAGGATAATGACTGTTATCATTATAGGTGATACTAAATGTTTGTCACACTCAAAATACACTAGAGAGACAAATGTAGAGATATGTGGGTTTACAGATTTTGCCTTATAAACACTATGCTTGGATTCATTTTGGAATATGCATAGCAAGCTTAAAATGGAAATATTATCAGTTAGTAAATAAAGAGGCCTTTAAAAAATACAGAAAAGTATTACCTCTGTTAGTATTTGAATTATTATAGCACAGAAAGGAGATGTTAACACAGTCCACTCTGAATAGAATAGATGAAGAATAGTAAAGGCCTTCGTGATTCTGGGTGGAGCAGTAAACAGAATCACTCATATATGTGTCATCAACATGCTGTGATCACTGCGACTTACAGGAGCTAGAGTTTTTCACTAAGAAGTGATTGTATGGTAAATTGAAAACACCAAAGACCCTGTGTCCAGCTCTGTGTGGCATCTGTGCCACACCCAGAGGAACTAGTCACAGTGCAGGGTTGTGTAAGCAAAGTGAAATCCATTCACCAAGATTGTGATACAAATATTGGGAAAGCTTTATCTTCTTTGTTTGGAGTCTTGATATTATTGTTGATTAATAGTTTCCTTAATACTCTATTATCTTTAACACATTTAACTTAAAATATAAATAAATTGGTTCTTCTCACACTTTTCAAAAATCTCGTTACAGAATTCTGTGTCTTAATCTTTCAAAGTAGTGAGGCTTAGTTTTATCAGAATCATTTAAATAAACTGTAGTTTCTAATGTGATTGATAGAATATGATTGCTGTGAGCTGCAGTCTCAACCTGCTTTTGACATTTAAACATATAAACCTGACTAGATATAACCATTCAGGTGCTAAATATATTTTACATCTACTTCAAACAGTAGAAATGGAAGTATTAAGAGATCTGGCTTCATTGTCATTGAACTGTGAAATATTCAACCTTGTCTGCCCGTGCTTAGTACTGTTGACTTTTTTATTTCTGTTGGAAGATTAAAATTAAATGCAGCACTTTTTTTTGTCAGCTTTTGGGAATTAAATTGAAATTTAAGACTCTAAAATTTTTTACTGAGTACTTCAATTTCAACAAAGTATTCTTGGAGGATTTTTTTTTTCCAAGGGCACTGCACAGAGGTTCATTGATCAAATATGATTTATCGCAATTTTTTTATTGGAGCTCTTTTTGTATATTTATTAAAGTTCACATATTTCATGTTCTAACTAACTATATTAGAAAGTGTTTTAGGCAGGGCACGGTGACAGGATTGCCTGAGCCCACAGTTTCGAGACCAGCCTGGGCAATTTGGTGAGACCTCATCTCTACAATAAATAAAAAAATTAGCTAGGTGTGGTGGTACATGCCTGTAGTTCCAACTACTTGGAAGATTGAGGCAGAAGGATCACCTGAGCCCAGAAGGTGAAGGCGGTGGTGACTGTGAGAATGCCACTGCACTCCAGCCTGGGCGACAGTGAAACTCTGACTCAAAAAAAAAAGGAGGGGGGTATTTTATTAAATAGGTACTAAATATTATATGAAAAATCTAGAAACGTATTGTACTGATTTTAGACTGGCTTTATAATTTTGATTTATTTATTTGAAAATTCAGTAATTAAGAAATGGGAAAATGGTATATATATTTTATACCTTTTAAGGGTGTTGTTTCTTATTAATGTGGGTACTGATTATCAGTGTGTTCCAGTTACAATCTTATCTGTAACTGACAGTAAGTTTCCTGACTTTGAAGTAATTTTATTTTCCCATTTTTTAGTATAGTTTATCTTATTTCTTTATGAGATGTTTATAGATTTTTTGGTTGCTACTGTGCCTTTTGAGTTGAAATATTTGTTTTTAAAAACAATAATAACCCAAATGTCAATTCTTCTGGTTTGCTGAATCATCACAGATTTTTGACTTTTTATAAAATGATCATAAAAGCATAACAATCTGTTCACTGTATATGGATACATTGTATGATTGAAAATGTAGTGTTATTAAATAATAATTGTTTGTGTAATGTAGTAACACTACATTGTGTTATTAAAAATGTAGTCATTGGGATAGATGTCAGAAAAAAAAATCTGAACTACCATTGTTAATGTGAATAAATTCAAATCTGGAGAAATTTGAGGAAACAAGGAGATGGCCACTGAGAAATGTATTTGATGATAAATATATTTTAGAATTATAAACTACTTTGTATGCATTTGTGTTTTAAAAATAAAGTCACTCAACATTTGAAATGGAACATTTAAATTTTATAATTATAAAATTTTATAATTTTGTGAATTATAAGAAAAATATTTAAAATTATTTAGCTCATCTCATCTACTAAGTACTGCTAAGCAGTCTCACTTTCTTGTCTTTGAATCTTAGAAATGTTGAGAGTTAGGAAGAATCACGGAAACATGAAAGTCTTCAGGGTAGAATAATTATGGAATCGGGGCTATTCAAGTTATAAATGAATGCAAGTATTTCATTTTGGGGACAGAAATTCTTAATTAGATTAAGGGTATGATGTAAGATTTAGCTCTCTTTTAAAAACTATCAGTGATGTACTTTTCAAATTCGAATCATATTTATTATGTTAAATTTACTCAGGATCAAAACCATTCAAGTGCAAGATATGCCATTTTGCAACAGCTCAGCTTGGAGATGCCAGAAACCACGTGAAAAGGCACCTTGGGATGAGGGAGTACAAGTGTCATGTCTGTGGGTGAGTACTTTGAAGCCACCTCTGCTGCCAGAGCCAGGAAATGTGTGCAGGATAGCCATTGTTTCGTAATTCCAAACTGATGGGAGCAAGAGTGGCTAAAATTATGCATGCATATCCTCCTTTCCATTGTTATGGTAAATTCCTTAAATACAGTTATGACATTCTTCTCCTACTTCTAATCCTGTACTGAAGATGAGCAATTTTATGGGCTACAAGGTCAATTTGAACCTGTAATCTGTAAATTGACTAAATTATAGGATGTTCATTCACATTGCCAGAGAGAACTATAAATTCCATTTAAAGACATAAAAAATACATAATATAGCTTTAGGAGTATATATATATATATATGTTTTTTTCTTCTGCTATACTACTTTAATTTTAATCACATTAATAGCTCTTTAGATCCATTGGACATATTCTATAAGGACAAAAACTAAAGATTTAATTTCAGATGGCTTGTAACTGATTAGTGTAGGGATGATGCCTACAAAACCAATGTGAAAGTGTTTTGGTGTAACTTTGTTTCAAAACTTGTTTCTTTTTTAAGTTAATGTTTTTTCCTTTGAAGAATTACTTACAATGTTTAATTGTCATTCAAATGTGTTGCATTTAATAGAAAGCGCTAAGGTGCCTTAATGCAGAATTAATTAATTTAGCAGAAATGTTTAAAAGGTTTTAAAATGCTATGACATACATGGTATATCATAGGATATTCAGAGGTGGATTTTAATATCCTACTTCTGATTAAAAGTATATTTTAATGTTATTATGCCAGAGAAATTAACTAATAAGTATATCATACAAAAACTCTTTATATTATGCATCTGAGGAACCTGTAATTCTTATGGCTAGTTTACAAAAATACTACAAGTTTAATTAAATTATGCAATGGGCACTCTTGTTTTTAAAGTGCAAGAGTCTTATGATTGATACTACCATGTAAATATCTTTTATGCCAAAAACACTTGATCCCAGGATGAAGTTGCATTTTGACCCTTAAGGTGCTTTTACAATAACTTTGCAAGCAGTTTTATTAACCATGATCTGTGATATATTCATTGGCAGAATTGATGGTTCACTGACTTGCAGCTAAAGTAAATGAAGGTGAACCTTTGTCTTAAAGCCCCCTGAAGAGCAGTGGGAGAATGAGTTTTGTTACTACTGATTTTAGCTGCAGGGGTCAAGTGCCAAATGGTTCATTTTAATTGCTATAGGTCTTGGAATTTCAAAAGATATATCACTTATTGTTTTTACCATAGGAGTTATAGGGAAAATGAAGGCACTGACTCCACTGATATTTTGCTATTAGGTGACAGTAAGTGGTTTCTTCCTCATTTCTGAGAAATAAGTAAATAGTTGTTCATACTCTGTTAACAGAAATTCCATTAATTTTTAAAAAATTTCGGCTACTAAGACTCTGAAAAGAGAAAAAACTTTTTAAGAGAATAGTTTCTGACATACATGGTATCAAAAAATGCATACTTGGTTGACTAATAATTTGAACAATATGCACCTTACTAATCTTGCTTACCAATTGCTTGCCACATACAGATGAAATTTTGCATTAGCAGTTTATATATTTGATTCCTAATGTACAGAATTATAAATAAACATACATAGATTGGGTTTTATACTGCTGTCAGAGAGAACTATGTATATGTGTGCATGTAGAAAACGCATTCTAGACTCCAAAATTGCATCTCTTAGAATTATGGTAGCCATTGAATTTCATCTGACTATGAAGTAATATTTTTCTTTATTTTTTAAATGAAATTTGATTTAAAAATTATATAGCAATAATTTTAGCAGTGAAGATAAAAGTTCTGAAGAATTGCGGTAAATAGAAGAATACCTATTTATCTATGTAGTTGAAACAGAAAAATAGTTAGATGCCCTTCAGTGTTACAGAAGGGGCATCACAGGTTGTTCTAGATTTCATCTGTTTCAAAGAAATAGGGCAGTATGCAGGTTAAAAATTAAAATGAAAAACAAAAACATGCAAAGATTGGCTATCAGATTAGGGCCACTAGAGAGTATTGGTACATTAGCGTCACTGACAATGTCAATTCATTATCATTGATGGCTAAATAATCTTAGAAATGCTCAGTGGACCTATTAGTTCCTGAACATAAGCAGCTCACACTGCATTTCTTCATTAGTTTTAATTGCTATAAATTTTACCTTTTACAAAATCATGCTTTAAAAGGTGAAGTGATCTTTCAGGAACATTAACTCTATAATTTTGTCACAAACAGAAGGTCCTGCACTATGTTTTCTTTTCTCCAGTAGTTAATGTCTTAGTCTCTGTCTTTTAGAATTTTATTAATGACTTCTTTATTATTTGAGTTTTAAGAAGTTATTTCTCAAATAGTCATGATTGAATGATGGTATAAAAAAAATCAGGCAGGCACATTTAAAAAATGAAATTATTATAATGCTGTACTCTTTTTCTTAATAATATCTTGGTTATATTGAAGACCAAACTAATATTGTATGGTGAAACTGGTGGAAGCAACACATACTTAGTTGAGCTCAATATTAATTTTTCAGATTATTTGTAATTGTCTGACCTCTTTTTCATATCTTTATATATCTCTATAAGAAGATCGTAGATGCTCATTAACTATTTGTCTCTTGTATTTTTCACTAAGGCTTAGATTTAGGGTTGTGTACTAGCAACTTCCTTAACAAAAACTACCTTTTAAATTTTTATGTAACATATTGGGAACTGTATTGATTTTCTTTGAATCTTTGAGATCTATTTTAAGAAATAACCCCCCCTCTACCTACATTGGCAAGTTTTAGCTACAATATATCATGAATTTAAGTTAGACAGAAGAAGCTGAATGCATTTGATGTCTAATCCTTATTAGATAATTAGGATTCAGAATTTAGAATGTAAGGTTTGTTTACCCAAGGTTTACCTGCTCATGTCATGGTAAAAGGTTCAAAAATGCATTGCTTTTACTTTATGTTTAATTACATGTTATAGATAATTTAAGAGCCATTTTACTTTCACTTTTAGGAGGAGCAGTTTTTTGAATCGTAGAGTTTCTTAATGATGTTTTTCTTGCATCTGAGTAATCAAGAGAAGAATTTTGTAGAATATAGGTATATGTATATTTAGGCATTTGATGGACAGTTAACATGAAAATCTACTATGGGTCTGACATAGGGCTTAGTGGGAGAGAAAGTAAGAGGTAATAGAAAGCATATATATTTAAAAGTATTAAATACTTTTATTTAATAATTTTATGTTTAAAAGTAGACCAAATGCATATTTTTATTATATCCATGATCTCTTTCTTTATTTTTTTTAGTAGTCAAGAACTCACAAATCTCAGTGGCTTATAAAGAGTAATTTTAGGCACCATATTTTAAATTTTTAAAAATTTATTAGATTCTCTGTGTGTATATAAAATAATGTATGTAATACTCTCATTAGTATTGATGCAGTGCTTTATGGCTTAGTAAATACCTTGATTAACATTTATCTCATTTGTTGATTGCTATAGTTTTGTGGATTGTTTATGTCATGCTTATTATCCCTATTTTGCTGATGGGAAACTTGAGATTCAAAATGTTTTTAGTGTAGTACTTAACTTATGCAACTAGTAATGGTAGACTACTCTTTTTCTTCTATTTAACTATCCATTTTCTTTATTTCTCTACTTTTTTAATGTCTTGTTTTTTTTTGTTGTTGTTGTGGCTTTAATTTATACTATTTTTTCCCTCTAGGTTGTTCGTAGTAAATGTGGTTTATCTATTTCCTCCCACCAACCACTTTTATTTTTTACTTTTGCCCAGATTTATGTTCTTTTGAAAAATGGCTTGCACAGTGTTTTACTTTCATATTCTAGTATTTAGTCTCTCTCTTTCTCTGTTTTACACTTCCCATTTATAAGTGTTGTTTTAAATAATTTTATTTTTCCCACTCTCCTTCTTGCATTGATTATTTATTTATTGCATTTACTTGATGACTGAACATATTTGTATTATAGCAAGAAGTAACTGTCTAAAAATGTAAAGATTTTAACATCTTCCCATTAGGATGATAGGAATAAAACTGGTCAACTTGGGTTGTTGTTTTTTAGTACTAGTTATTTTAAAAGAGTTATAGAAAACTAATGATTGACCTCTGATTTCAATAAACCTAGGAAATGAAGTCAATATTTTGTATGCCATTCAGAAGCAAGACCCCCATATGTGTGATATAGGGATTGTGCTATTTACTGATTGATTTCCCTTTGTCTTGTCTTTGTTCTTGTTTATGGAATTAAACAGTTAAAAAGAATTTACCTAATCAGGAGAGAATAAGGGTGTTTTCTAAATCTGTTATATCTAGATTCATGGAAATATTCCAGACATTTTAAAATTGTCTATTAATGTACTTATGAACTGTTTATTCCTAGTTGGTTTAAGAAACCTTAAATAGAAAGTTACAAATGCAGTAAAACTCTTTGTGTGTGTGTGTGTGTGTGTGTGTGTGTGTGTGTGTGTGTGTGTGTGTGGCATTACCTAGTTTTTGTGCATTAGAAGGGATCTCTATGTAGATGATTATAATGTCACTTTCTGACCTTTGCAGCTTGAATAATTGTAAATCATTGCTTCATAACGTGTCAGAGAATGTCTGTACTAGGCAATTAAATGGCAGAATATAATAGACCAAATTATTGCCTGTCATGTTTTCAACAACACAGTTAGTATTTGAGTTACACTTAATCATTACGTGCATTAGCAACTTCATTGGAATCCAGCTTCAGGCTGAGCATGAAATACATTACATTATTTAAACCTCTAATGGTACAAGTCATTTATTTGTGTTGAAGTGTACAACATGCAGAGTTTCATAAAGCAAGGAACACTTGAGAGCTTAATTTATCCAAATCAAAGTCTACATGCAGATAAACACAAGTGGCAAAAATTAGTAATTTTTATAGGCTGGAAATATTTAAAAATACATGGTTGTGGGTAATTGTAGGCAACAGGAATAAATT